GCAACAAATTGAATTGCAATAAAATAAACAAAGAATAATTGCAGAAAGTTTAATTGAAGAACAAAACTTAAATGCTAGAAAAGAAACTCAAAAAACTAAAGTTTGATAACAAAGTAGAAAGGAAAGTGTTGGGTGTGTTGCCCTACAGTCGTAGTTTGTATTTATGTATTTATGTAAAAATAAATGTATATTCAATAAAGTTTTATTCAATCAATTTGTTATTGAATTCATAGCATTGTCCAAAATGTAATAAACTAAACATCCAAGGTTATTATCATGTAACCGGGACAGTATATCTACTAGGTATATATTTGATATACCCTTGATATACTTTGTATATATTTGATATACCCTTGATATACTAGGTATATATTTGATATATCTCTGATATACAAGTGGATAATGTCCCGTGAATAACCTAAAGGGTCTATAGTATATAGATAAAACTGGGTACCTTATCCTGGCAACACTATGGATACGGTCCACTTTGTAAATGTTACAGACGACTCGATCCAGGTCATTCGTGTGGAGACATGCGAGTGGGGGTATCCTATACAATGAGTTTGTATAAGACCGGATCGCGAAATAGCCAATCTTTAGATGTAACGTCGTTGACTAACATATTGCTATTTCATAGGATGACCAGGCAACTTATTCTCAATCTTGAGTGAGTTATGGGCTCATGCCCGTGAAAGCTCGTTCTTTGATCTGTATGGGTGAGAGTGACCCGAGTCGCCGACTCAATATTCCTACCATTTTGGGGACAAGACCGAGTGGGGAGTTGGGAACATAACTTCACAAGATGGAATTCACTCATCCCCGACTTTAGTGAGTTGATGAGTGTTCTCTTAAATGCTGACTCCGGGACTTGAACAAGGGGCCCCACCCTCTCACTAGCCCGAGAGGGACTTCCGGTTATTGGTTGGACCATAACCGGGTTGTTAATTAGAGGAGCAGTGGTATTTAAGGAGCAAAATGTAACATAGGGGTAAAACAGTAATTTGACCCATCTGTAGTTACGAACACTCGTGAAGGATTGACTTGTCATTAATGGTCGTATATCCGTGGACACGAAAACATTCTACAGTGAGAAGAGTGCAACTACGGGTCTTTAGTGGAGTGACCCGTAGTTAACGAATGTTGATTAACTCGGTCAATGAGTTCGACCGATTAATCTCGTATCGTTGAAGCTTCTGATCTGTAGGTCCATTAGGTCCCCTTGCTAGCTCACAATGGGTAAAACGAGGATCAAGTTTTTTGGAAAAATTTGAAATGTTCAAAATTGTTCAAGGGATTATATGTATATTGATACATTATAATATATAGTTAATTCTAAATTAAAACTATATATTATGAGAGATTTTATTTGAATGAGATTCAAATAAAATTAATATGAATAAGATTCATATTAAAACTATAGATTAAAAATAATATGCATAAGATGTACATTACGACTATAGGTTATACGAGAGAAATGCTGTAGAATATGATTTAATATATATATATATTATTACATAGGTTAATTATTAGTATTAGTTTTATTAATATTAATTTTATTAATATTATATATATAAAAACCCCTCTGCAAAATTTCAAAGGAGTGAGCAATTAAGTGACGTGGGGCAGAGTTTTATTTTGGTTTTTTGTTTATTGCAGAATGGTTCTGCAAAAACATAACGCTCAAGCCCAAGGAAATTGAATAGCATTCTCTTATGAAACTCTCAAAATTCTCTCTCACGTTCCAAACTAACGCTCCCACAAGCGAGATCGTCGCACCCTGAGGATAGTAAGGAAGATCGTTTGGTGGTGTTCGGAGGATTCATTGAAGAAGAGTTCTTGAAAGGTAAAAGGAAACCTTTTCTTTCCCCTGTATTTCATTCTTTTGAACTATGTGGTTTTGTTCTTCAAAATTCAAGAACTGGATCCGTTTTTCGCTGCGAGAATCACATCCCATTAGAAAAAACAAAAGTATGGAAAATGAGATGGGTTGAAGTGATCCATGGAAGCTCAATATAGGCTTGAGAGGTAACAAGGTGTTGAGAAATCCATAGGAAGTTGGCAACCATTAGTAGTTGTAGAGATCTTAGGAAAGGAGACCAAATCTTGGATCAATCGCTTAGTCAAAAGTGGTTATTCACATTTTGATAATTTGGGCATCGAATGTGGCTGAAGCATTGTGAAGCTGGATCTTTGAAAATAACGTGGTTGAAGCATTGCTCCATTAAGCTGGAAATTCTGGGGGTGTGATGCGCCTGACGCATTGTGATCACCAATCTTCACTTTTTTGTAAAAAAACAAACATATTTACACCAACTCCATTTATCGATAACTAAATGCCCAAGTCCTTAATCACAAAACATGGACTTTTGCTAAGATAGATGCATGATCATACACTTTTCATCCTAAATGACCCTAAACTAAGCATGCAAATCTATTCTTTTTAGCCTTTAATCAAGGCTTATCACTAGAGCATTAGTTAGACGGGAGTGAGAGTGTTAGAGTGATTCCCTTTCGATTTACTTTAACACCGTACATTATTCGTTTAAGTTTGTTCTCTATTTTCGAATACCCCAACAAGGAATCGCATAACACTTCTGTTATTTGCTCATTTACCATTTATGTCATTTACTGTTACATCATTCATAATTCCTTAACAACGTTTTTTTTCCTTTCCGGTATTCTATTTTACTACTATAAAGTATAGTTTTAGTCCCTATGGAAAAGACTTTGTTTTATACTCCAATTGAACATTTTGTGTACACTTGCATCGGTTTTCACATAAGTTATGGATACGCAACAATTTTTCAAATTAAAAAGTTGAGATTTTTTTCTAATTCATAATTGATTCTTCAAATTAAAAAGTTAAGATTTTTTACATATTAAATTTAAATTAAAAAGAGAGTGTGAGGTTTATGGTGTGAGATTGGTGAAGGGAACCAAGATTGTGGAAACATCCTCACAATGTTTATAGTATGAATCACCTAGTCACAATGGTAGCAAAAATCCGATAGTCGTTCATAGCACATTGGTGTCCAGTAGCCCTCCTACTGGACCATTGAGGTTAACTTTAGTTCTCTGCCACAAAGGTCCGTTGATATCAACTGAAGCATGAACCCTCAAGCTACCCCCCAACAGATTCTATCTTAGAGGGAGTGTCAATCCTTTCCTCTTCTTTGAGAGAATGAAGAAAAGAGAAGGTATTTCTAGCGTTCAAAGTGAACATTGTGAGAGAAGAGAAGCTTACATACTATGAAAATATCAAGATGTTTTCTAGTTCCAACAATAACGAAAGCAACAATGGCAATGACAAGTTCATCTTCTTCGGTGGTTAACTTGAAATTGTCTCATTCTTAAAACAAATAGTCTCTAGCCATTGGAGGAATGTCAAAGGAAGATAGATGATTGAGGAAAAAAATGCCAGAAAAGAGTCATACTTGGCGTGGAGACTAAGATGAAGCTACCTAGAAGAGGGGAGCTCTCATGTCAGAAGATATAGAGAGGAAAAAAAAGCCAAAACCAGGCTCTTTAAGTTAAAGAATTTGTGTTTTTATTTATTCTTTTCGTACAATGTTTATTATTTTAAAAGAAGTTGTCGAGAAATTTTATCATATCATATTTTTATAACTTAAATCATTTTATTTTTAAAAATGAATTGTATTTTGTTATGTTTAAAAAAAATATTTATATTTCTTTTACTGTATTAATATAAAGAAAAAAACCAATAGAGAATGATAACAACAATTTAGTATTTCATTCTATGCTAATTAACTATATATTAACAAATATAATATACAATATAATTAATTATATATTAATAAATATAATATACAATATATTGTTATAGGTCAAAGCGGACCTAGCTCAGCGGTAATTGACATAATTTCTAATGAAGGGATGAGTTCAATCCCCCACCCTAGGTATTAAAAAAATATATATTGTTATAGTTGATTGGGTCTTCAAGTTGGTAAACCAAATTTTCAGCCACATTGGAAGAAATTTTCTCTACTCAAAATTTTGACCCACATTCATTCCCTCTCATCTACCCACTGCCCCACATTCCTTATCTCTCCTCTGCCCTCTTCTCAAGCATTTTTGGTCTGTTTCTACATCCACGTTTCCAGCTCTCTCTCATTGGTGAGTGGACGTCTTTTTTGCATCTTTGTGTAAATTTATGAGACCCTTAGTTCCGGATTTTATTTTTGGGTGTTTGGGTTGTTATATTATTCATCTAAAAGTTGCTTTTAAACCTTGTTTCTGCATGTTATTTGGATGAATTGATTCAACTCTTGCTGGGTTATAAGGACGGCAAACAAAGTCTCATATTGTCTATGGAAGAGAGTGATTCGTAGTACATAGATGAGACGATTATCTTTGTTTGTTTGAAGTTTAGCTCTCTTTTAAATAATTTTGTGCAGCTTAATTTTATTATTTGTAAAGTGAATTCAAAAGTAATTTAAAAAGAAATGATTGAGTAATGCACTTTCATTAGGGAGAGAGTACAGAGACAAATTCTGAAACAAATCATGGAGGAAAATTCTAGAATCTGGTATTCAATAAAATTATTGAAATAAAAAGCAGAGTTTGAAAATATTTATTCCAAAATTTAAAGTGTGAATCTATGATTTTTTTTTTTTTATTTCAAAAAATACATTCAATGTTTTAAGGGAGAACAGAGTTTTGAAATCTTTATTCCAAATTTTGAAAGGGTAAAATTAAGATTTTTGTTTTTTTTTTAATTTGAAAAACAAAATCCATATTTGAAGGGAGAGGGTAAATAGTTATTTGAATTTGCATCTTTGCTCCCGAGCACTTCCCGCCCTAGCTTTCAATTGGGTTTCTCACCATAGGCCTTAGAGTAAATAAATAATTATTGGTAGTTCAACATATTGGTCGAAATTTTGAAATCGAAATTTTGAAATATTTCAAGTAAATGTCGACATTTCATTGATATTTTATAAAGTCGTTTTTCCTTTGGTAAGAAACAAGTCGAGTCGAATCGAATCATCTAACAAGCAACTCAACGGTGTTTTATTCAAGTCCAAAGAGGCTGGGAGACGAGCATTACATTCTGCTCAATAAGTCCCCAACAAAACAAAACTAGAAACCCACCATCCCAATTTCAAACCAACTGTCCAAAAAAACAAACAGCCACCCAACCCAACCAAACCTACAAATCAAAGCTAACATAAACAACAAAAGCCTGCAGCCTCATTTTTCCATTCCAATTGCTCAAGCATCAGCAAATCTGCACATCAAACACCACAAGTTATGAAAAGGTTTCCTTCTATCTCCGAGCAGCTATCAACGACACGAGGAAACACCAAGTGGGGGTTGAAAAAACTTACCCTAGCTCAGAAAGCTTCAAATGAGCTTCAGCATAGTCAGCAAAGAAAGCATCCTCGTCCTGAAACAAAAAGTGACAGCAATCCATCATCAGTAAAAGCAGCCCTCTATGGCCTCTTACGTGCAAAAGCACAAACCCAATTGATTATATAAACGAAAACGCACCGCAGCATATTTTTCGACAAGGGGGCGGAAGACAGGATCGCTCAGAAGGGCCTTGTCTGATACCAATTGCAGAAGGCCTTCCTTCTCCCCGGTCAAGAGTTCGCTGTTGAGAATAACAATCGATAAAAGAAGTTTGAGCTTTAAACATTTCTTGGCAACCACCATGAATGAATGCTAACACTAGACGTGAATAAACTTACGTGAAGTAAGAGTTGTCAAAGATGAGAGGGTTGGAAGTCCATGGCCCCTCAAAGCCAGATCGTTCCTTGTGTGCCCTACCCTGTCAAGTTAAATCACAATCAGATACAAAAACTTGATGGCTCCACTACACTAATTTAACTTTATAGGTTCATTCTTCAACACGTGCGCTTGTATCTTGATTTTCAGCTTAAAGTCCTAATTGAACCAAATTTAAATAGGCGGTGAAATCAAAACTCTCTATCACTTGAGTTACAATTAGGGGTGCAAGGACAGCTAAAAAAATCGAACCGATCGCCGACCAAACCGAAGGTTAGTCGGTTGATTCCCTTAAACCTACAAAAACCGACCAACCAATCGACTTATATATATTAATAAAAAAAGGATGAAGATTTTGCTTTCACGTGATTCACGTGAATGGCTTGGTTTACCTTATTTTATTTTATTTTATGTATATTAAATCTTTCATTCCTTTTTTTTTTTATGTTTAATTAATCTCTCCTTCACTCTCACATACTCCCTCCCTCCTCTCCCCCTGTTTTCTTCCTCCCTCCTCGTATATACCATTTCTCTTTATTTTTTCTTATATTTATTTTTTTCCTCGTACTATTTTTTTCTTCCGTAAAATATATATATATATTCTTTTTAATATATCTTCTCCCTATCTCTCACCCGCTTCTCCCTCGTCATCTCTTCCCTCTTCTCCTGCTCCATTTTTTATTGTCTTCTCTACAACGGATAGCCATCGGCATGTTCAAACCTTAGCTTCCATCTAAAACCAACTGACCGAACTCGCTGACCGTTGATAAGTTTGTATAGAGCTGTAAAAAATGATTCCTACCTACCAAAACTAAATGGTCAGTAGTCTGTGTCAGTTTTGTGTTAAACTCCACAATGACCGACCAACCAATGTGCACCCCTAGTTTCAATTTTATTAAAATAACTTGTACTTGATGTTAATTTGCACATTCTTGTTTGGAATGAGGTTATTTATTGTCAACTATTGGATCTTCTTGCTATATTGGATGTTTTAAAGTCCAGTTTGATCTTATAAACTCAACAGAATGACAAATATAATTTCATTATAATGAGCAGAACAAACCAATGTGTGACCGCCAGAGAGAGCGACAATGTCCTGGTCTGAGAGACCCATGGTGTAGAAAACATCCCTCAGATGATCAGAACCTAAAAACCACAAGGCACCCGTCAATTTTTTGGTTCAAAATATGAAAACAGAATCTTTTAAACCATTCACAATAGAACTTTATCGCCCTGGAAACTAACCTTTGGTAGCGTCGGGCAAGCGACCTTCTGGGGGTGGCACAGGCTTGTCCTGCAGAACAAAGACCAACGATTCACAATATGTCAATATCAGACCTTATAAGTTCAAAAAAAGGTAAAATTATAATTATAGAGTGCATGGTCCACGTTGGTCTCAATTTACTCCTTATAACTTTGAAGTATCATTATATTTCTCCTACGGCTTGGTTAAATCTCCCCAATCATCTCACGTTACTAGATGTTCATTTGGACGTGACAAAAAGAGATGATAAGCTACTCTTTCAGTAAGAAAGTTAAAGTAACCCGCTGCGACGGTATCGAGCTGGTTGTGTTATGATTTGAGTTGGGTAATAAATAGAAGAAACCAAGTGAGTTTTCAAATAAGAACATAATACTACAGACTACAGAGTCTCAAAAATTCCTAATCTCCAAAAAAAAGTTTAATTTAAAGAAAACCCATCTCCTTTCCACATCCAAGGAAAATGTATTACATATGAAAACTGTTTGGCAAAGGCAAAAAGACGTTTTGGAAGATTTACAAACAAGTCAAATCAAACTCAACCTAAAACTGAACGACAAGCAAAACTCAAAAAAGTTGAAGTTCTCACTTCTCAAAGAAGTAAGAACTTCAAAACAAACAATCCCAAACGAGGTAATAATCCAGAGCACCCAAATCAAGAAACACGACCATTCTCAAATTAACAGAAATAGCAAACAAATAGTTAGAAAATTTGTCTTCAATACTGACCTCTCTACCCGGGTGGAAAGGAACCTCGGGCCCTCCTGTAATCTCAACAGCGACAACACCAGCTAACTGTGACAAATCGAAATCACAAATACAAAAACCAAATAACAATCAAAATCAAGAGCTCCTAAAAATAGATCTGATTATGAAAAGCCGAATCGTTGCATTTATTATACCTGGTAAAAATCGGCGTATGATAGGATGGGGAACTGTTCCTTGATGGGCTCCAATAGCCTGACGGCGATGTCGAGGCCATTGTTGGCGCCATGGGCAAGCTCATTAGAGAACCTAATAGTTCCGAACGGGCCACCAGTCTTGGATTTCTTGTCGAAGGTTCCGGCGGAGTGCCATCTGCAACCAAATCAACAACCTAAACACTCAACAATCGCTCACAAAAAGGAAGAAGAAGAAGTGTAAAATCAGAGAATCAGAACAAGAACATACGCGAGGCGTAGCATTAGAGGAGCGCAGTTCTTCTCAGCGATGAGACCTCTGAGTTTCCTCTTGGCCTTCTCCACGGCCTTCTGGTACTCCTCACTCACAACTGGGTAGCACTTTCCCATGGCGGACGATGATACTGAAAATGAAATTCAAACACATCGAAACCCCACATTTCAGATCCAAATCACAACCCAAATTACAGCTAAAACAAAATCAACTCCAGAAACCGAAATCTCAAACGCAGTAACAGAAATCCATCGCAAAAAGAACGATTCAAGCACACTCACAACCAAAATCAACGGGGGAAAAAACCAAAAGCTCAAAACCAAAGAAGAGAATCTATGCTTGATTCGATCTAAGTCAACAATTACAGAACACATACCTTTGAAGAAATGGAGACGAATTCGAAGCGAAAGAAGAAACTCTCAGGACGCGAGTCGAGCACAAGCAGGAGCTGCAAGATAAATAATGGCAGCAGAGAGAGAGAGGGTTCTCGAGGCTTGCCTCTGACCGTCGGATATCAAAGCTGTTGAAATTCAACGGCTGGGATTGGATTTTGAAAACTCGTGGCGCGTTGTTGGAGGCTGAGTAGGTGACGACGAGTTATATATATAATGAAGGAAGCGCCAATGACCGAAATTACGGAATTGCCCTTCTTGGAGGCAATTATGGAGTTGTCCTAATTGGACATTAATGTTTGAATTTGACCTCTAGAGAATATAAGTTGGAATCAAATGACTTTTCCTTTTTGTTACATTTTTCATTTAAATACATTATATTAGTCCTGTTTTTTTTTTTCCTTAATATGAATGATCATTTGGGTGAAGAAAAAATATTGAAACGATACAAACTTGAATTAATTTATTTTAATAGAGTTAGTCCAAAGTTGGATTTTTGATATATTAGGTCATAGGCCAAACCTCGTGAAAAAGCATGAGGAATTGCACGTATTCTTAAAATTAAAAAAATTGAAAATCAAATGATATTTTATTATATTTATTGTAGTCCTTTTAATTAAAGATTATGTTGTTGAAAGCAAGTTTTTAATTGTTTTTAATGGATATTTCTAGAAATGTTATAAAAATAGAAAATTCGTCAAAAATATTTAAATTAATGAATAAATATTTCATCATTTCTAAAAATGTTAAAGATTATTAATATTAATATATGTATATATTAATGATACTTTTTGATATTTTGTATATTAGTAATACTATAAAAGTTTTAATTCACCTCTTATAAAGATTGGGGTAGGGATCAAACTCGCAACCTCTCAATTAAAGATATATCAACCACCACTAAATTATTTTCGCTTGTGTTAATATTTAAAACCGATAGAGCTTGGTTTTTAATATAAATATCAAAATATTGTATTAAAATAATCTGATAATCTAAACATTATGAGATTCTCATTATGAAATTAATCTTTTTTCTTGAATAAAGAAGAGTAAATAATATTTTTTGACCGAACGAAAATGGAAATTCAAGGCCAATTGGATAACGTTTCATAGGATTTTATTTTATTTTTATTTTTTTGCGTTTGAGTGTGAACGCGTGATTATCCAAAGATTCCATTAGTGGGAAATGATAAAGCCACAGGGTCTGTTATGTTATTTTCCATCACCCTCTAATTTGATTGGCTACACACATAGGAGATGACGAGATCTGTCAGCGGTCTTTTCCTTTTCCATTACTTTTCTTTCTTTTTTTACTCTTTTTATTATTTTTCACCTATCAGAACGTGCCACGACATGGCAGAAGAAAATTTTTGAAATGGACGGCTAAAAATTGGCTTGAATTCAACTTTCTATATGTTGTATGGGTTAGAACGTGGCGCGCACGAGTCCCCTCCAATTAAGCCCATTGTGGGGCACAATAGTCCCTTCAAACAAGGGCATCTGGTCTAATTGTCTCTTTTTCTCCATCGATAAATCTATTTTCGACAATAATAATTCGAACCGATCTCAATTAGTTAAGTCATATATTATTATATATTATTGAATAAAAAATTAGGTCCCGTGATAACTATTTTGTTTTTTATTTTTTGTTTTTGGTTTTCTTATTTCTGGTTTTTAGTTTTCTATTTTAAAAAACAAAAATCATATAGGTTTGATAATTGGTTTTTCTTTTTTTTGTTTTTAAAAAATAGAAAACCAAATATATTTGCTAACCCTTTTTCATTTTTTATTTTTAAAAAGTTAGAAAAGTGGAAATATATGTTTGATATAAGATTCAATAGAGTAGAGATGATAATAATGCAGGGCGATATTGCATGTACTCCCCCTTCTCATGTTCGTGAAAATTTTTAGTCCACCATCTCCACTTTGTTCGTCGGTTCGGGAATCCAGAATCATGTTAAAGAATCATTATTTTGGGACGGGGATATTTGCGAGAAGAATTACCGGTTTTATAATTAATTTTAATTATTTTTAGAATTTTATAAAAAGTGTAATAAATATATAAGAATTATTTTTAGAATTATTATTTACTATTATAAATAATTAGTTTTAAAAAATATTTAATATTTTATTCTAAATTTAGTAAATATGTTGATAAAAAAATATATTAAATTATTAAAAAAAAAAGAATCCGAACAAGTTTTGGACATAAATTTCCTATTCTTCAGAGCAAGGACCGACCCTAGGGAATTTCTGTCATCCCTAATGTACAGACACGAAATACAAATTTAGACGGATAAAAATAAACTTTTTAAAGATTTGAAAATACATTTTTTAAAGATAAATTTTGGAGAGAAAAAGAAAATTAGTGAAAGACAATTTAAAAGCAAAACCAGATAAAGTTTAAAGAAAATTAAAGTTGAGAAGAAAATACACCTTAAAGAACAAAAGAAATTAGAAAGAAAAAAAATTATAGTGAGAAAAAATTTAAAGATAAAAATAATATTCCAAATATATTTTTTAGATAAAATAAATAAAAAAGATAAATAAAAGTTATAGTGAAAGATAATTAACGATAAAATAATATATAATTAGAAAAAATAGATTAAGAAGAAAAAAAGTTTTAAAAAACGAGTAGAGAGAGAAAAAGTTTGTGAAAATATTAACTTTTTAGAAGGCGGAATGAAAATGATTTGTTGGAAAAAAAAAACAAAGATACATTTTAGAGAGCGGAATGAAAATGATTTGTTAGAAAAAAAAAATAGAGATAAATCAAGATGAAATTTTGGGAGAAAAAAAATAATAATAAATATTTAAAATATAAAAATTTTAGAGTGAAAAATAATTTTGCTAGAGATAAATAAGAAATAAAGAAAAAGGTTGAGTATTAGAAGAAAAACTCATAGAAATCAGATTTTCAAAACTGCTTTTTTTTTTCTGAAATTTACAAAGGATTTCAAAAATGATATTTGAAAAACCAAAAACAGAAATGAGTTTTGAAAAACCAAAAACAGAAAATTGAATTGGTTACCAAAAAGTCTTAGGAATTTGAATCCTCGCATTCAGATATTTTTTTTTTCTCTTTTGAGAAAGGAAATTACGAAAAGAAAAACCAAAGTGAGGCATTAATAATTAAATAAGGATGTTAACTACGAAGGGAATGAATCTAGATAGATTTCCAAAAATCTAAATTTGCATGTCTTGCTAATTCATGAATTGCCCCATTTATCTATGGCGTAAATGAAAGAGATACCATGAATCGTCTAGACAAACAAAGCAACTTAAAAATATTGGGGTCATGTTTAAAACTAAAATTTACCATGAAATAAAATAGAGTAATTATATTAGTTTTTAATAAAATAGAATGAAAAGTTTGGTATCTTTTTGTTATATATTTTTTTATAATCTAGAATCGATGTCATGTAGTTCCGTCAATTGAATCCTAATGGTTGAAGCGTTGACGACCACCCAACATTATAACCGATGTTGCAGGACTCATCACCAAATGGAGGGAAGAGGAAAACTCCGACTACATGTTCCGTGGAGTTCAAATATGCTACACGCTCAAGCATTCACACCTAATATTTTTGAGTTATTCAAGATTCAATATTCCATCTTGAATGGCACAATCTTCAATATCTTGTCATTAAATACCTCTTCAAACTTGGAACATTGACCTCTCTTTCTTGTTTTGTTGGATGACTTTTAAGGAGAAATTTGGTATAGTGTCCATATTTATATTGCATCAATAAAAATGGTTAAATGTATGATAAATTACATATATATCTACTTGATTTTTTTTTTTAGTTTCTCCCTATTTCTTTTTCCATTTGTACCTTCGTTGCTATATTCAGATTTTCTAAAATTACTTTCAGGACCATTTGTTTCGTAGGAATCCAAAATTCTCTTGAAACGAACATCTGGATTCTCACGTTTGTTTTGTGGTAATGTAAGATACCCGGGTATCTCGAGATTCTCGGGTATCCTAGAATACCAATTTGGAAGGCATCCGAATCGATTTGGATGCCATTTTGAAATATGGGTTTCCATGATTCCCATGTCAAGGACATCCTTGATAAGATGAAAAATATACCCATATTTTATATATTTATTTTACATTTTATTAATTTATTATGTTTAAATATTGGAATTTAATTATAATTTATCATTTTGTGGCAGATTAAAGATATTCAAGAATAATAATTTTAAAACACAATTTTAGAGGATAATGCGGACTCCACCAAATTGGGAAGAGTTCAACGGATAAATATAGACACAATTATTATGGTGGAAAGCTTCAATTTGAGAATTATGAATTTTTAGAATATTTTGTAAATAAAGAGATATAATCAAAGTAGAAAACATAATCCTTAATTGATTAGGAACTCTTTTATTTAATTTGTTTTCTTTTAAAAATTATATTTTCCAATTAGTTAGGAATTTCTTATTAGAAATAATTCATCTTTAAAAGAGGATAAAGTTAATCTCTATAAATAGAGAAGCCTTATCGGGAGATCCATCATCCAAGTTCCAACGAAAAACTCTCTTCTCCAAAATTCAGTTCTCTCCCTCTACCATGAGTGACTAGGCTTTAATTCTTCCAACTCAAGGGTGATTCAAGTCCGATTGTAAGCTTGGGAGACTCAAGTTAGATAGAGATTTCTTCTTTTTTCAAGTATTCTTTGTTTCTTGTTCTTATTATTTATGAACAGTTTATATTAATTAAATTGACACCTTAATTCATATTAATTGTTCTACTGCTATCCATGAATTTGTGATCCGTAATTGTCATGAATGATTGAAATAAGTAGCAAGGGATTGGCTCATGTGTGTGTATTATGACTTTTCCATGTTTACATAGCTGGCATAATAGACTTTAGGGAAACAAATGGACAAAATTAATTAACTTGCAGCTATCTCAAATTAATTAATTTTGGTTTAGTCATTCTCATTATCCTTAATGCTATTAATTAATCAACTGTGCTATTCTTTGATTAATATGGAACGCTATCGTGCCCAATTGATTAATTAATAAGATTTAATTTTGATGCTTGGTCTAAATTAATTAAACTAGGAGAATTAAAACTTATCACGGCTGTTTCGAGTAAGTAGACTAAGTTCTTGAATCAAGATACCAATTTTGTGTAAAACTTATGATCAAGATTATAATTGGATGAAAATCATACCTTTGGATTAGAAGTTTGGTAAGATTGACTTTCGTTTTCCTTTTAGTTTATCTTTTAAATTTCAAAATTTAATTACAAAACCCCCCATTTTTTAACTTTGAGAAATTAATTTCATTCATTCTCTTGGGATTTGACATGGTCTTACTACTTCTACAAGTTAAATTTAGTAAAATCAGTAATTATTTTGGAGGGTCTCGACAACCCTTACCAAAATTGGTGCCGTTGCCAGGGAACCATTATTATTTTCTCATTGTTTAATTTAACTTTTAATGACTCGTTCTTCTCAGAATATAGAACTAAAATTTGATCCTGAAATTGAAAGGACATTGCGCCAGTTAAGAAGGGAGAGAAGACGACGTTTAGAATTCAACGAAGAAATGACGGATAGAACATTAAAACAGCTTGCGGCACCAGATTTGAATCAACAACCTCTTTGCATAACTTTTCCTAATATTGAAAATGATTTTGAATTAAAATCTGGATTAATATACTTACTTCCTATTTTTCGTGGATGTGAGGATCCTCATAAACACTTGAAGGAATTTCATATTGTATGCTCTGGAATGAAGCCACATGGAGTGACTAAGGAGCAAACCAACCTTAGAGCTTTTCCCTTTTCTTTAAAGGATCAAGCAAAATATTGGCTTTATTATCTACCTTATGGATCAATCACAACATAGAATGAGATGAAAAGATTGTTCCTAGATAAATTCTTTCCTGCATCACGAGTTGCAAATATTAGAAAGGAAATTTATGGAATCACGCAGATCACTGGGGAGACATTATATGAGTACTGGGAACGATTTAAGAGATTATGCGCTAGTTTGCAGCACCATCAAATCCCTGATCAACACCTCATCCAATATTTTTACGAAGGATTATTACCAATGGATAGGAGTATGATCGATGCAGCTAATGGAGGAGCTTTGGTAGACAAGACATCAGAAGCAGCCAAGTAACTAATTTTAAACATGGCTGAAAACTCCCAACAATTTGGATTTAGAACGGGAAGAGCTATTATACAAGTCAATGAGGTAAGTGAACTTAAAAGTCAAATATCTGATCTAACTGCTTTAGTCCGTCAAATTGCTCTAGGAGAAAAGCCACGTGAAATGTACGCACTTCAAGGACATCCTCAAATACATACCCTCAATTTCAACAAGATTCCATTCAAGAAGCCAACGCTGCAAGGAGACTTCCTATTCCTCCACAAAGAAACTATGATCCATATGTCAATCATTATAATCCTGGATGGAGAGACCATTCAAATCTAAGTTATGGGAGTCAAAACTTCATAAGACCACCCCCACCTCCTATGCAAACTCAAGCCTCAAATTTAGGTATGTCTCTTGAAGGAAATTGTTAAAAGTCTTGCTAATAGTGCTCTTCAATTTCAACAGGAAACAAGGGCTGTCATGCAAAATTTGGGAAACCAAATTACTCAATTGGCTACCTGGTCCTCGCAACCAGAAGTAAATCCAAAGGAGAATGTCAGTGCAATCATGACTAGGAGTGGAAAAGAAATGACTTCGATCCCTCAGAAAGAGGGTGAGTTAGGCGAGAAAAATGAAGAAGACAATTTATCCAAAGCATCAAGCGGGGTAAATTTCGATTCACCTTTATCTTTTCAAACTTACACTCCATCACCTCCCTTTCCAAGCAGGTTAGCTAAGCCAAAAGCGGGTGAACAGGAAAATGAGATCTTGGATACTTTTAGAAAGGTAGAAATAAATATCMCTCTCTTAGATGCTATTAAGTAAATTCCAAAATATGCAAAATTCTTGAAGGAATTATGCACAAACAAAAGGAGAGTGAAAGAGAAAGACAAGGTAGTGGTAAGTGAAAATCTATCAGCCATATTACAAAAAAACATGCCAGAAAAATGCAAAGATCCAGGTATGTTTTCATTACCTTGTGTAATTTGAAACAAAAGAATTGAGCGTACTATGTTAGATTTAGGAGCTTCCATTAATGTCATGTCATATTTTGTTTATCAAGAGCTTAAATTAAATGACTTGCAAAAAACTGGTGTTGTGATCCTATTAGTACAAGTCAACTAACTAATATTCCCTGTCGACTTTTACATATTAGATAGTAATCCCTCATCTAAATCTGCTTCTATTTTGTTAGGGACACCATTCATGAAAACAGCTAGGACAAAGATTGATGTTGACGAAGGGACGCTCTCGGTAGAATTTGATAAAGAAATTGTTAAATTTAATATTTTTGATGCTATGAAATATCCCAATGATGAATACTCACTTTGTCAAATTGATATAATTGATTCAATTGTGCAGGATAAATTTACCAAAGATAATGATGATCATTTGCACAAATTAGATGAACAATCTCTTGCTGAAGTTGAAGACGAAATTGATAAAGAAAAGATGTTAAACTTTGATGCTAAAATTTCTACCACAAATAATAAAATCATACCTTCTATTGTACAGGCACCAAAATTGGAGTTGAAGGCTTTACCAGATCACCTAAAATATGTGTATTTAGGTGAAATTGAAACATTACCTGTCATCATTTCAAAAGAACTCACAGTGGAACAAGAAGAAAAGTTGATTAAAACATTGAAGGAGTACAAGGTAGTAATTGGGTGGAGTTTAGCCGACATCAAAGGTATTCGCCCATCAATTTGCATGCATAGAATTTTGTTGGAGGATGAAACAAAACCGACGAGAGAACCACAAAGAAGGTTAAATCCAACTATGAAAGAGGTGGTAATGAAAGAAATACTAAAATTGTTGGAAGCAGGTATCATCTATCCAATTTCTGACAGTAAATGGGTAAGTCTGATTCATGTTGTACCAAAGAAAACTGGAATCACTGTGGTAAGAAATTGCAACAATGAACTTGTGTCAATGCGTGTACAAAATGGTTGGAGGATGTGTATTGATTTCAGAAAACTCAATCAAGTTACTAGAAAAGATTATTTTCCTCTACCTTTCATCGACCAAATGATTGAACGATTAGCAGGCAAACCATTTTTTTGTTTTCCTGATGGATTTTCAGGTTTTTATCAAATTCCTATCGCACAAGAAGATCAAGAAAAGACTACATTCACTTGTTCATATGGGACATATGCTTATAGACGAATGTCATTTGGTCTTTGTAATGCCCCAGGAACATTTCAAAGATGCATGATGAGCATTTTTTCTGAATATATTGAAAAATGCATTGAAGTGTTTATGGATGACTTTACTGTGCATGGAGAATCATTTGATGAATGATTAGATAATTTAACTAAAGTCATGAAAAGATGCATTGAAACTAATTTAGTGTTAAATTATGAAAAGTATCATTTTATGGTTACCCAAGACATTGTATTAGGATATGTGATTTCTTCTAAGGGAATAGAGGTTGATAAAGCAAAAATAGATGTCATTAGCAGTGACTCTTAAGGTCGGAACGGGAGAAGTTGTCTCAGTTGTGGCAATATGAGAGCTTAAGTTGTTTTCAGATAAGAAATCATATATTTTATTAGATAATGTATATGTTGTTCCTAAAATTAAGAGGAACTTGATTTCTATTTCTTGTCTATTATAACAATTATACTTTGTTTATTTTTCTATGAATGAGTGTTCATTTCTAGAAATAGTGTTAACATTTGTTCTGCCAAATTAGAAAATAACTTGTATGTGCTAAGACCAACCATAACAAAAGTAGTTTTAAATATTGAGTTATTTAAAAATGCTAAAACTCAAACTAAAAGGTAAAAAGTTTCTCCTAAAGAAAATACCTATCTTTGGCATTTAAGATTAAGTCACATTAATCTTAATAGGATTGGGAGGTTGATTAAGAATGATCTTCTAAGCGAGTTAGATGATAATTCTTTATCACCATGTGAATCTTGTCTGAAGGCAAGATGACTAAAAGACCTTTTACTTGAAAAGGTTATAGAGCCAACGAGCTTTTAGAACTTATACATTTAGACCTTTGTGGTCCGATGAATGTTAAAGCCCAAGGAGGGTATGAATACTTCATCTCTTTTATAGATGATTATTCAAGGTATGGTTATCTATACCTGATGCAACACAAGTCTGAAGCCCTTGAAAAGTTCAAAAAGTACAAAACCGAAGTTGAAAATCAATTAGGTAAAACCATTAAAACATTTCGATCTGATCAGGGTGGAGAGTATATGGACTTGAGATTCCAAGACTATATGATAGAACATGGAATCACGTCCCAACTCTCAGCCCCTGGTACACCATAACAGAATGATGTATCAGAAAGGAGAAACCGAACCCTGTTAGACATGGTTCGCTCAATGATGAGCTATGATCAGTTGCCTAACTCGTTTTGGGGTTACGTAGTGGAGACTGCGGTTTATATTTTGAACGTAGTTCTATCGAAGAGTGTTTCTGAAACACTCTTTGAACTATGGAACGGTCGTAAAGCTAGTTTATGTCACTTTCGTATTTGGGGATATCCGACACACGTGCTCATGACTAGCCCAAAGAAATTGGAACCTCGTTCAAAAGTATGTCTATTCATAGGTTACCCTAAATGGTAGGAATATTGAGTCGTCGATTCGAGCCACTTTCACCCATACAGATCAAAGGACGAGCCCTCACGGGTAAGAGTTCATAAGTTACTTAGGATTAGAATGAGTTGCCTGGTCATCCTATGAAATAGCAATCTGTTAGTAAACGACGTTACATCTAAAGACGACTATTTCGTGGTCCGGTCTTATACAAAATCATTGTATAGGATACCCCCACTCGCATGTCTCCACACGAACGACCTGGATCAGGTCGTCTGTAAGATTTATAAAGTGTCTGTATCCATAGTGTTGTCAGGATAAGGTATCTAGCCTTATCCATATACTATAGACCCTTTAGGTTCTTCCCAAGACATTATCCAGTTGTATATCGAGAGTATATCAAATATATACCCAGTATATGTATTATACCGATTCCATGATAATAGCCTTAGATGTTTAGTGTATTGGATTTAGACAATTGCAATGAATTCAACAACAAATTTATTGAATATAAATTACATAAATACAAACTATGAGTTTAGGGCAATACACACAACAACCACGACCATGGTCGTCGCTGAATCGAAGCTCGAACCGTCGTGGAGACGTGTCGCCACACCAGACCGACGCTTAGGTCGCCGTGGAGATTGCGCCGCCATGAGGAAACACCGCAAATCGCCGCCGGAGATCGAGCTTCGTGGATCGACGTCACCGTTGTCTGAGGAGCTATCGCCGGTTGCCGCTGCTGCTTCACCAGAGAAGAAGAGCCATGAGGGGGGGGGGGGGTAGAGTAAGAAGGAGGGGAAGAAGATGATGACTTTTTTTTTTTAGGGTTTTGTTTTATTTTGTTTTGACATTAGAAAGCTCAATAACCCACTAAAAAAATGTCCAAGCCTAAACTTTTGTAACTATACTAAAACTCGCAATAACCCACAACCAAATAATTAACTTAACCTCTAGAACCCAAGAGTTAAATCCAAAAAGTAGAAATTAATTTTGCAAAAAACCTTAGATTTAAGATTTAATTAAAGATCTATTCCAAAATTCGAAAACTTAATTTATCTTAATCCAACTAAATTAAACTAAATTCTAATTTTACCCAAAATTAGTATTCCAAAATTAGAAAATCCAAGAAATTAAATATCATATTAGGGGAAAAATCCAAGGGCACAAATTAAGTCTTAAAATAAATGAGCTAGGGAAAGCGGGGCGTTACAAGCTACGTCCAGTCTTCCACTCTGATACGGGTTCCACTGTAATGAGATTGAATACAAGAATGCAAATTTAGGTGATCCCTGATGCTAGAGACATAGCCACGTGCTCCCATTCGTTCTAAATAGTCCCTGATGCTTCCTTCCTTAATCGAACCAAACGGCCTCTGAAGAAAGATTTCCCTTCTGATAACTTAGCACTCCCACCCAAGTCTGTTGTCACTCTAGAGACTTCGTCCTTGACTTCAGCATCCATTGTAGTTTTCTCCCTTGATGTACTATTTCGTCTGCGTGACTTCATCAGCTCGCCAAACCATCTGACAACCAGTTAAACACCTTTCTGAGCTATTCCTCTTTCCTCTCTTTCTACTTCTCAGCTATTGTACTTGAACTAATGACATATTTTCTTCTTCTTTCTTAGTTGTCAATGCTGCTAATTCCTCTAAGTCTTGCCCTAAAGCATATGTAGCCCTGTGCATCATCTGTCTTTGTGATCCCCTAGCATCCTCAAAGTTGGATACATACACTGAAGCTTCTTTGTGGCTGACTGCCACTACCTCAGATCCCCCTCACTAGCTTCCAGCTATCATCGCAATGTAGTAACTCTTTTCATCCAGCTTCCCAGTAGATATCAGATTCCTCATGAAACCGGGTAAACATGCGACATCCTTAAAAAATAGCTCAGTTTCATGGTTAGTCTTCAGTTAACATCTCAAATATCCATGATTTTGGAGAGTCTGTTGTTTTCAATTCTAACCACGCCAAAGCTCAATGTAAACAACCGTCTGTCTAAAGCGATGTGCACTGAGGCTGCACTATCCACTGCCCACTCTAATGCCTGTTCTATAGATGTTGTGCTAATCTTAACGCTAGCTAGCAACACCTCAACTGTCAAGTAGTTTGCAGAATCTTCCTTTTTTTAATCTTCCTTGAGTTTCTTGCAAAATCTCTTAATATGTCCCTTCTTGTAGCAATAAAAACACTCCACGTCTCTACTGCTATTCCCACTTTTCTAATTGCGCCAGTGCTGTCTTTTCCCATATTCCATTTTCCCTTTCCTTTACTTTGAACTATCAAAGCTGATTCCATATGTTTTTCAGACACAGAAGTAGAAGCAAAATTCTTTCCAGTTCCTTTTTTGTTAATCTCTTCAGCTATTGTAGCATCATAAATATGTTCGAATTTCAAACTCCAACTACCCACTGAATTTGACACAGTCGTCTTCACGATCTCCCAACTTTCAGGCAAAGAAGACAGCAACTTAATGACCTTCACCTCTTCTGAAAAAGTGATCTCCATAAACCCCACTTGTTCATCACATTGGTGACTTTATTTATATGGGAGTTCACTGAGTACCCTCCTCCATGTGGATGTTGGATTATTTCGTATGAGATACACCTTGCTGTTTGGCAGAAGGTTTTTCATACGTGTCAGTCAAAGCCTTCATCAGTCTCATTGCTGTTTTCCAGCCCGCCACGAGACTCGTCACATTCATCGTCAAACATAGCTTGATGATTGCTACCGCTTGTTCATCCATCTCTATCCACTATTTATCTGACATCCCAGTGGCCGGTCGTTCTTTCAGGCTTTTATGAATTTTCTTGTATGTAAGAAGATATGTAATTTGCATATTAAAAAACCCAAAATTCTCCCCATCAAATCTCAACACCCTCTCAAAGTAGTGATGTGACTTCTGACTGAATCTCATGATATTGCAACCTACAACTCTAATACCACTTGTTGGGAAATTAGGCACTCAAAATAATTTCCTCTTCCATAGTTCTATAAAGTTATCTAAGCCAATCACAAAACAAAGAGAAATATAGAGAAAGCAATAAACTACATAACAGATTTATACTGGTTCACCCCAACAATTTATGGCCTACGTCCAGTCTTCCTCTCATATAAGGATTCCACTATAATGAGATTGGATACAAACACTCTCAAATATATCTCCCCATTCGATCTCTAGATGTCTCAACAAAAAACCCCTAGTTATAAGTATTTAACACAATGATACTTAGGTACAGAAATGAAAATGTCCAATAGAATCAAGATCTAATTACCCCGAATATGTTGATCTTGATCTGCCTCAACGCCTCTGCCAATACCCCAAAGCTTCTACTTTGAAACTGCCACAAACTACTCGCAAAACGGCTCAAAAATGGCTCTCAACCTAAAAATTGGCGAAACTACAAAATATATAACATCGATACAGCGCATGGCGTTACAGATGGAAAAAGTTGGTGCGGCGGCGCTGCTTCCTCGGCCATTCTGGCCTACAGCTCTTCGCTTCACCTGTTTTCGTTCCTATTCGTCCCACCTCGATCTCGACTCGTCCCTAGCCTATTCCGATGTCAATTTGGCTCCACCAATCCCAACAATAATATGTATAGGTAGAATCTAACCATAATTATTTTTGTTTTCTCTAAATGATGCATCCTTCAAATCCATTTTTAAATAAGGGCATCAAACTCATGTTATAGAAGACCTCTAGAAAACAGAAGACTTCCACCCTTCGAAAAGGTGAGTTCCA